GTAAGACCTCTATTATTATTGTTTCTCCCCCAAAGGCAATGTATTGAATGGAATAGTCAAGTGAATATTTCTTTTGAATTTCTATGTTAGCCTATGAACTCTTCAGTTCAACTTTCAGTCTACAAACAAAAGCAATCACGGTCGTCATCTCGCAAGATACCTCGCCTTACTGTCTGCTGTTGAGTGCAAGTCCTCTTCAGTCTATTGCTGAATATCTTTTACTGGAAAAATCAGATTTTTCAGAGTTTCCGAAGAGCCATGCCATGTGCCTATTCACATTCAATAACTTAAAAATAATGAAAAAACACTCTACTTTAGAAACCTTCTATTAGAAAGATTAACAGCGACATTTCTCCCAGACCACCCCATGAAAGGAAGTTAGCAAAGTTTGGCCATTAGTCAAAAGTTGTATTCTAGTTTGTCCCCACAGGATACGTCGGCATCTAGTAGATTCAGCTCATTTTGAACGTATGAAATAGGTTAGGTTAGATTTGTTGAAATACTCCATTCACATAATCTGATAACAAGTGAAAATGTGCTGAATGAAAGAAAACATAAAGTAGTGAGATTCAACGCGCTTTTCGTTGGTTAGAAGCTCATTCTATGAAGAGTATGAGATGTTCCAATATGACATGTAAGCGTTTATTTTTGTTATGGTTCATGAAAAACTCAAAAATATGGTAACTAATGTTTATCGTGACGTTCTGCATACTAACAAATAGATGAAAATCTCAACAAGTTGTAAAATGGAAAGGGAATTCTAGACAATTTCACAGATGTTTTTATTGTGTTTGCACTGTTAATCAACAAAAAACACATATTTTCTAATCTTTTCCTATGACACCAATTGATGGATCTTCATATATCCGTCATCAATGTGTGCATCCGGGATGAATCAAGAACGTAACGAACACGAAAATACTAGTTACGGTTTCGATCAACCCAATCTTATGATGAAAAATTGCAATCATTCTCAAAATTATTCACTAGAGGGTAACCTCAACTGATGACCTAACCTAATAGTTTTCATATCGATTTCAAATTATTTCGAGTTCAAACTCTGAATTCCCACTTTTTGAAATTATCATTTCCACTTTCAACTAGGAGTTTCGATTCTAACTCGAAAATCGAATGTTATTTTCCATAACTCAATCCAACCTGACCGCCTAACCTAACCTCATCGTATCCATATCGATCTCTAACTATTTTCAGAGTCGGAATTTCTAGTTTTTGTTCACAAAAGTTTTCTTTCGAACTGGAAATTTTGATTCAAACTTAGAATTTGTATGTTATTCTTCATAACCCGACTCGAATATATCACCAAACCTAACCTGATCGTGTTATTGTCGAACTGATTGTCTAACCGATCCTGATCGTATTCATATCGATCTCAAAGTTTTGGGAGTTCATAAACCAACCCAACCTGATTGCCCAACCTAACCTGATTGTATTCATATCGATCTCAAATTCTCGCGAGTTCCAACTCAGAATTTCGATTTTTCAACTCAGAATTTTAAATTTGATTTTGGAATTTCGATTTTAAGCACTGAATTTTGATTTTAACTTGAAATTTGAATGTTACTTTCCAAAACCCGATTCAACCTGATCGCCTAACCTAACCTCATCGTATTCATATCGATCTCAAACTATTTTCAAACTCGAAATTTCAAGTTTTTGATCATAAAAGATATAACACTGATTCTCCAGATACACATAGAATCCACAACACAAGACAGAACAGTAGTAATAATTTACATCTTTCATATCGATCTCAAATTCTTTTGAATTCAAACTAGGGATTCCGACTTTTCAAACACAGAATTTCGAGTTTGTATTAGAAATTTCGATTTAAATTCTAAATCTGAATGTTATTTTTAATAAACTCGCTTGATCGCCTTTTCAAACCGATCTCAAATTATTTCGAGTTCAAATTCGGAATTCTCACTTCTTGAACTGAGGATTTCGAATTTGAACTGGGAATTATTATTCCAACTCAAAATGTGGATGCAATTTTTCATGACTCGATTCATCTTGATCGCCTTATCTAACCTTAGCGTATTCATATCGATCTCAAACTATTTGAAGTTCAAACTCGGAATTTTGACTTTTCAAACTTAGAATTTCGAATTCTAACTCAGAATATCGAGTTTGAACGCAGATTTTCGATTTTGACTCGAAATTCCAATGTTTTTCTTCGTAACCCACCCCAACCTGATCGCCTAATCTAAACTGATCGTATTTATATCTATCTCAAATCCTTTCAAGTACTAAGTCAAAATTTCGATTCCTTACCTCAGAATTTTGATTTCAAACTCTGGATTTCGACTTCATGGACTCAGAATTTTATTGTTTGAACACGGAGTTTCGATTTATACTCGAAATTAAACTGTCATTTTTTATAACCTTGCCTAATTGCCTAACCTAATCTTATAGTTTTTATATCGATCTCAAATTATTTCAAACTCGAAATTCTCACTTTTTGAACTTATAATTTCGACTTTGGACACTGAATTCTGATTTTAACTCGAAATTTGAATGTCATTTTCCATAACTCGATCCAATTTGATCGGCCAACTCAACCTCATCGTATTCATATCGATCTCAATTTATTTGAAGTTCAAACTCGAAATTTCGACCTATCAAACGGTGAATTCTGAATTCAAACTCAAAATTTTGACTTTGAACTGGCAATTTAAATTCAAATTTGAAATTTAAACGGTATTTCACACAACCCAATCCAACCTGATCGCCCAGCTTAACCCAATCGTATTCTTATCCGTCTCAAAAATAATTTCGAATTCAAACTCCGATTACTCAAACGGAAAATTTTGACTTCGAACTGGTGTTTGAAGGTGATTGACAATGTTTCATGATGAATTTCACTAGTTCGAACTTCCATTGTCTACTAAATAGAATGATTTGAAATCCCTGAAACAACTGAAAAAGAAGAATTAAAAATGAATAGCTGAAAATGACAATTATATTAAGCGAAATAAACCTGAAATGGTATAATAGTGAAATAAAATACAAGTAAAAATAGAACAATTGAATAAATAAAAATGAAGAAATGAAAAAAGAAAATAAAAAAAAAGTGTAGAGATTCCAAGTCACGTTAGTTCACGACGTTTCGATTGTTAGTATCTACAATCGTCTTAGGGTGATGACTGGACTGATTCCTCCGAGAAATGACTATTTATAGGTCGTTCGAGTACTTTCACTTATCCCCGCTTTCCATTTTCCGCTTCACTGGTTCCATGGGAGATGACCGTTTGGCGGGATGATGGGTTTCCATATGTTGCGTATTTCTACGCTGGCTTGGCTGAATACGTTGTTGGACAACATGTATGCGGCTTCCTTGAATTTTCTCCTAAACCAATGTTCCTCTCTGTGCAAGATCTCAGCTTGGGACCACTCGATGTTGTGTTGATGGGTCTCAACATGGTCTGCTATTCCTGATTTGCTGGTTTCCCCTCGCTGTGTGTGTTTCTTGTGTTCCGCAATGCGAACATTCAATGGCCTCTTAGTTTCACCAATATAGGATTTTCCGCACTCACAGGGCATTCGGTAAATGCAATTCTTGGAATCGCAGTCCGCGTTTTGTGGCCTGGTTTTCGTGAGGCTGCTACGAATAGTATCACCAATTCTTCTTATCCTCTCCGATAATCGTCTGATATAGAGAAGTTCAAGCACTGGTTGTGACGGTTTCTCTTTCTTGCGCGGCTCCTGCTGTCTTTTATCCAAAGTCTTTTCTACCATCGCTTTGGAGTAGCCATTCCGTTGAAGATCATTTTTGATGATGTCTAGTTTCTTCTCGAGACCTTGCTTCGTATTACAGAGCCCGAAAGCACGATCTAATAAAAAAAGACTGCAGGAGCCTCGCAAGGAAGAGAAGCCGTCACAACAGTACTTGAACTTCTCTATATCAGAGGATTATCGGAGAGGATAAGAAGAATTGGTTCCAAGTACAACATCAGAACCTGCTTCAGATCCGGTGATACTATCCGTAGCAGCCTCACGAAAACCAGGCCACCAAACGCGGACTGCGATTCCAAGAATTGCATTTACCGGATACCCTGTGAGTGCGGAAAATCCTATATTGGTGAAACTAAGAGGCCATTGAATGTTCGCATTGCTGAGCACAAGAAACACACACAGCGAGGGGAAACCAGCAAATCAGTAATAGCTAACCATGTTTGGACCCATCAACACAACATCGAGTGGTCCCAAGCCGAGATCTTGCACAGAGAGGAATACTGGTTTAGGGGAAAATTCAAGGAAGCCGCATACATGTTGTCCAACAACGTATTCAGTCAAGCCAGCGTAGAAATACGCAACATATGGAAACCCATCATCAAGCGAAAAATGGCCAACTCCCGTCAAACGGTCATCTCCCCGGAACCAGTGAAGCGGAAAATGGAAAGCGGGGATAAGTAAAAGTACTCGAACGACCTATAAATAGTCATCTCTTGGAGGAATCAGTCCAGTCATCACCCGAAGACGATTGTAGATACTAACAATCGAAACGTCGTGAACTAACGTAACTTGGAATCTCTCCACTTTTTTTATTTTCTTTTTTCATTTCTTCATTTCTATTTATTCAATTGTTCTATTTTTACTCGTATTTTATTTCACTTTTATTTCATTTCAGGTTTATTGTTGCTTAATATAATTGTTATTTTCAGCTATTCATTTTTAATTCTTCTTCTTTAGTTGTTTCAGAGATTTCAAATCATTTTATATAGTAGACAATGGAAGTCCGAACTAGTGAAATTCTTCGAACTGGAAATTCCGAATTCAATCCCAGAATTTTGCCAAAATACTGTATTTGAAGTCGAAAACTTAACGGTGTTACCATTCTACTAATTCGTAGAGAACAAGTGACCCCAAAAATCTTCCTTCAAAAATATTAGCAGTGACATCCCGGCCAGACCGCGGAATGAAACGGAGTTATTTGAGTTTCAGCCATAACTCAAAAGTTGTATTCTTGTTTGTCCCCACAGAATCCGTCGGCGTCGCACAGATTCAGCTTATTCCGGACGTATTGGTTGGTTTGGGCCGTTCTGTTCCAAGCGGCCGTGCATGTCGATTCCCCTCGAGGATTCACGGCCAGATTTATGACCAATGTTTGGGCGATGTTCGCCGTCGTCTTCCTCGCCATTTACACTGCCAATCTCGCCGCCTTCATGATCACCAGAGAGGAGTTTTTCGAATTTTCAGGTGATGTATTTTTGTTGTTTGATGTTTTGTGTAGATAATACAGGACTAATATCTTTTGGTGATGATCAATCTATGACCTACCAGATATTTACCATAACCTTCTATACTTCAGAGAAATACCTAAAAAATGTCAGATAGTCTGAACAGAGTAAGGAAAGAAATAATCGTTTCTCGGGCCTTTGGCCATCCATAAAGTACATCAAACGAACTTCATGATTTTTGACCCCCCGTTTCCCCACGTCCTTGTCCCAGCGGTCATATTTGTCAGAACCCCCCCTTGAACTGAAACAGCAGTTTCATTTCAATTTAATTTTTTTTTTAATCAACATCGAGTCAAATATTAAATATCAAACTTGATAATCTTGGCTTCATGGACTCTGAATCTACTTCTTTAAATTATTCATAACTGGTGAAGCGGACACATCGTTCACATTTGGGCTGTTAGCCTCAGGAACATCTGATGCATCAACCTTTCTTTATCCAACCATACAGCATCATCGTCATCATCCGAGCAAAGAATTTTTCTGGCATGTCTACTAGCAATTTTTCCAGGACGAATCTTCGCGATAATTGCCTATGTTGATTAGTGGTTTTATATGATGCAAAATATAAACAGATGCTACATGATCGCCTCAACAAGTAAGCTTCGACACTGGGGCAATACCTATAATACGGAACTTGCTTGAAATGTAATGCCGCTCGGAGATCCAAAGCCATGATAATTCACCTTAGGAATCATCTTTTTCTATGGTCAAATACCCGCTTGACGACTGATAAATTAAAACATGTGGTGGTAAAAATCCATATTGCTATAGTGGCTTGATCGTCGCACACCACAACATGAGAGAGCCTCGTATTTTACTATTGGTAATAAATATTGTGATTCAGGTAAGTAGATGAACAAGACCGGTTCTGGCTCACTTCAAGGTCGCGCGTCGTTGGTAAGTATTTCAGAGATATTTCAGTGGGAGTGGAAGAGAAACACGTGTGACATAATCGATGCAGAGAAGGATGGGATGAGTATCGGAGAGATTTGCGTACCAAGTCGCATCATCTTACAATTCCCTAGCCTCTTGAATGTTTAGTGTAGTATATGTTGGCCCGTTTTTGTAACTCTAAATCAGCTGTTTCAGTTGTGTAAAGGGTAAATTTTCGTTTTGAGGACACCCGGCGATTTTGAAAAAATTTTTGCGTGTACTTACGTCTTTTGATGCGTAGATTATGAATACGAAAGAAAAAAGCGGCGCTCTCCCTCATTTACAAAGTTACGGCCCTTCAAAGTTCTGAAAAGGGCAATTTTTCAGCCTTCTTTTGCACAAAATAAACTATTTAAAAACACAAGCATCTATTCCCTAGGTCACCTTTACACCTTATTCCTCCTTCTTTGAAACTTTTCATTTCAATAATGAAAATTTTTCTTATAAAAACCTTAATTTAAAAACGAATGCTTCTCCTGGTGACATTCTTCTATTTTTAGGTTACTTACTAGTGACATTTCAGAAAAAAGCGGTTAGTATTTGCCGCCGCCTACTATTTCAAATTCGTAATACACCACCAAAAACCAATTTACGATCTGAAAAATTAAGGTGAAGAACATTTGAATTACTTCAGGGATATGGACTGTATCAGTCGTACCAACCATGCAATCAACCTTAAAAACGTAAAATACAGAGATATGTAACCAAAAAGCAGCTCCGTACATTTTTTAACATTTTTATTGGAAAAATGTTGATTATTGAAGTGAAAAGTGTTAAGATGACCTAGTGAATAAATGCTTGTGTTTTTAAATAGTTTATTTTGTGAAAAAGATGGCTGAAAAGTTGCCCTTTTCAGGGCCGTAACTTTGTAAATAAGGGAGAGCGCCGCTTTTTCCTTTTGGATTCGTAATCTACGCATCGAAATACGTAAGTACACGCAAACATTTTTTTTAAATCGTTAGGTGTCCTCAATTACCGTGTAATGTTCGTGTTTCAACACTCAGATCACAATTGAAATTGGAATGTGACGTCAAGAAATTAAGGACTCCTCCCACACCCTTGTCACATAATGTCACAGTTCGTCGATCTCCTCCCATCCCCTTAATATGTGACGTAATTAATGAATGACCATCATTTGTGAAGAATAAAAATTATATCAAAAACTCAAGAAAGTCTTGACCAATTCTCATGACTTTTGATTTGATAGATTTGTCTCTATAAGAAACTCTTGAAACAATTGGGAAAGTAGGAAAAAATGCAGAATAAACAAATTGACGACATTTGATTTTTTCGATTGAGACAGTTGTCATGATTGAGGTTATGATATTGAAGGTTTCTACTCGCAAGAACAATTGTTTCGTTACAATGAAAGTAAAGTCAACAATACGCATTACGATTTCGTGTAAGAAAGGTTTTGGCATTACTACTTCCCCACCTTCATAAAAAATCATGAAGATGGAGAAATATAAATCCAAAACCTTTCTTCCCCAAAAATGGATCTCTCCTAAAAATATATCTCTCGCAATTTGAACAAGACTCCTATGGCTGAGATCCAATCAAATAAGCGAATGAATGTCGTTACGTACTGTCATCGATGATATGAGTAGCTTTACCTCATTCATTACATAAGGTCGTAATTTCATGAAAGAATCTAGTGCTCCATCTTGTAGTGTTATTCAGATTGGTGATGAAGAAGTGATAAGACAAGTATCTCATTCCGAAACATCGATGGCCCCCTTGAGGATGACATCCTCATTGGAGTCGAAACATCTGCGTTCTCTCTGCGATCAAATACTGATCATTTAGTGATTTACTCATGAATATTTCAGGTGTCGACGATCATCGTTTATGTCGTCCGACTTCGCACAAACCAACCATCAAATTCGGTACAATACCCTGGTCGCATACGGACTCAACACTAGCCAAATACTTTAAAGAAATGCACTCGTACATGCGTCCGTACAATAGATCCACAGTTCTGCAAGGAGTAGCTGACGTCCTCAGCGGGGACATGGACGCCTTCATCTATGATGGGACCGTTTTAGACTACCTGACGTCACAGGACGAAGACTGTAGACTCCTCACGGTAGGATCCTGGTATGCTATGACGGGGTATGGTATGGCCTTCCCAAGGAATTCAAAATACCTTAAGATGTTCAACAAGAGGCTGCTAGACTTTCGGGAAAACGGTGACTTGGAGAGGCTTCGCCGATACTGGATGACCGGGGTGTGCAAGCCTGGAAAACAGGAGGTTGGTATCATTATAGTGTAATCTACATTTCATCCCAAGACTCAATTTCTATAGACCGACTTCTGTGAAATTTGTACTCGTGTCTTTTGGGGAGTATATTCAACTAACAATCATACGGATTCAATACTAGTGGTTCCATCTGTGTGTTAGTCTATAAACTTCTCAAGTTTTCTGATATATCATCATCCCGTACGGAGAATGCTGTTCACTGCAGCGTTACCATACATCCACCTCATTACATCTCTATGCTGGAAATGTAATGACACGTTGAGATATAAATTGCTTCAGTATGCGTAAGCTTCTTTGTCGCTTCATAATTAAACACAGCAACCATTTCTTGAAATTCATCCCACATCGCTTTCTCTCATAGGTCAAAAGTTCAGATCCCCTCGCTCTGGAGCAGTTCTTGTCCGCCTTCCTGCTTTTGATGTCAGGAATCCTACTGGCTGCTCTCCTGCTCTTCCTGGAATACCTCTACTTCAAATACGTGCGGAAACACCTCGCGAAAACCGACAGAGGAGGATGTTGCGCTCTGATAAGCCTCTCAATGGGAAAGAGCCTCACCTTCCGCGGGGCAGTGTACGAAGCGCAGGATATACTCAAGAATCATCGATGTAAGGACCCGATTTGCGACACTCACCTCTGGAAAGTCAAGCGAGAGTTGGATGTGGCACAGCTGAGAATAAAACAGCTCGAGAAAGAGATGGAGGTGCACGGTATCAAACCTCCTCCTCCTTGTAAACGGTGAGTTTTCTTCATTTCGTACAGTACGGTCAATGTATCTTTACACATGCGTCTTCAAGTTTCACGGTCGAAATGAGTCGGTGAAGTAATGAAAAGGAAACAACGTAGGAAACAATCTGACCTTTTAATGATTTTTTTGTTTGAAATTCACTAGAAAAGTAAATCGGTGTTATAATTTTGATATAATTCCATAGGAAGCGTCCAAAAATATTTATTTATTTACTCAATACATTATACTTTACATGGTGATTCAAACGCTGCCCATTTTTTTTGATATGGTGCTTCAAGATCTGTCAGAATCTGTTATGTATTACAACTTTTCTATGAGAGGAAGTTCAGGTGTCCGGATTGGCTGGATATTTTTTAGATTTTACCTCAAAAAGCAGTCTTTATAGGTATTTTTTACACGATCCTTATGATTTATTTCGTCATGCATGAAATGAGTATCTCTCCAGCACAGTAAACTGTAAGAAGTTCTATTAATAATGATAAGTCCACGGCAGAGCGGTTATATTTTCAACTAAGAGTTGAAAAATTAAAAAAATGTCCTTGATCAGAATAACATAAAAATAGTGGTAATTGGAGTTGTGAAAAAAAACCATGAGAAATGAACCATAAACAAACATAAATAATGAAAATACTTGACTATATATATATATTAGTTTTTAACAGAGGTGATGGAAAAACTGCATAGTTTCATCTGAAAAGAACTGACAGTATTTAGCGATGAAGTTAGAAAATTTCACGAAAAAAGTTGTCTAATGTTATATAGGAAAGGGGATCTTATTTTTGAAATCTCTCAAGATAATGATATATCACGATCAATGAAGTATTATTGTGATTCCTTATTTATCCATGAAAAAAACCCCAGTTTTTTGAACCGGGATACAATAAAGATTGAGGAAAAACTGAAGAAATTTTATATGAAATAAACAAATTGAATTTGTATTCATTATTTCATCTTTTACTGAAACTAAAATTCAAAATTTACAGTTTGTCGATAACTCAGATGAGAAGTTGCATTATGTTGGTCAACACCAATTTTTGTTTTCTCTGAATTATCATTCACGCTATTTTGAATACTCCGTGGAGTTTTCAAATCATCTAATAGACATTGATCAAGACAAAATATATACCACCAGTCAATGAAATTTCAGTTTCAGTTTTGATCATTCCTATAATCAAGATATCAAAAAATAATAATTTTTTTATTTTTTCAGAACTTCGATATTTGATTTCTATTTGGTGCACCGCTACAAAAGCGACTTTGAAACTTATGAGAGCGTTGCAAAATGAAACGACAAAATATTTTTGCATTATGGTTATTCATTCCTCACTCTCTTGGGATTATTTTCCTGACTATAGGAGTCCTTGGTGAAATTATGCCCTTTCTGCTCTCGACTTTCAAGATCATGGCGGCTTGCTGTACGATGGCAGAAAATTTGGCCAGACGAATGCGAAAGGCTGTCATTCTTGGCTCATTGCGTCTGCTTAGGGTATATGCTTTTCGGACCCAATGATCACTTACCCCACGGTGTGGAAAGTGTTTATTGGTTGATAATGCTGGCGCGCCCTCTATACTGTGTCGGAGCTTCGGGGACAGGGCACGACCAGCGTAATCTTTGGAGGAAAAAAGTAACAATTCGGTTGTTTACTGTTTCTACGAAATACAACTTCTGCAGAAATGTTGTTCCTTAAAACACAATATGAGGTATAATACATGACACATATTTTTGAGCCCTTTGATTGAAATGCAATATTACTAGAGAGTCCCACGACATTTCTCTAATATCAACTGATGAATACTGACTTTGAGAGTGGATTGATTCTGAAGAAGAAAAAACATTTTTCATTATATTATGTCAGTAACATGTTCTCTGCAACGATCGCCAATCCTAAAGGTGTATGTGATGATTCGATGAGTATTTTTGCATCGCTGATTATTAAATTCGCTTAGGCATAATCAGTTGGAATTGGAATCAAATATGGAAAATCTTCATGAAATATTTCAAAACATTTCAAGCAAATACATCAATAAAAAAATGTTTCAACCTCAACTTCAATATTTCAAAACAGAAACACTCAGTATTCATAATTCCATCTTTCAATATTTCAAGTTCATAGACATCAGAATTGATACGATAACAAGATATAGAAATATAAAACAATCTCCAGATACGCAAACTTGGACGAATGCGCATTGAGCATTTTCCCCAATACGGTGACCGGAGCAAACCTCAGCATAGGAATCGTTATAAATATTAAGGGAAGTCAATATCACAAACAGAAAGTTGAAAAAAAATCATTTAGTATTCATTGATCACTTCTCACAACCGGTTCCAGAGCATTTCTTAAAATGCATCTGCTTTTCGTCGATCCTGCTGGGTAGCAGTACAATGTAAGTTTTTGGTGATTCTTTTTATTTTTTCCCTCAACTATTCAATGGTAATCCATTCCTAGGGGATTTTTCTAATTTTTTCAAATAAATATTTTATTGAGTCTTTAAATAAGTTTTTTCATCATTTGGATGAATAAGGGTCGGGTGAAACAGCAAAAAATCCTGTCGTGATAGACAAAGCGAGTACTGACTTGCGACAATTCAATGAACTAAGATCATCATTGATAAGCTCGAAACAAGCATTTTTCCCAATCATAAGAACTGCATCACATTTTTTTGACGCGCGTTTCACCAATCACGTTGATATATTCAGGAGAGTAAGTAATTAGTTCACTTTCTCTTCAGGAAATGCCATAAACAGTTCACTTCATTTACTGAAGATGTTAACTTGGTTGGTGGAACGCTAAGAGAAAAGTGATAACGTTCTGGTGATTCGCAAATAAGCTTATTTTGGATTTGTTCTTCCCAAAGGGTTCCAGTTCTTTCTTACATTCCTGATGTTCTACATATATCTTCAGATCTTCAGATAGATAGATAGAGGACCGTTCATATGAAGATGATAGATATAATATTCCATAGCATTAACATTGAAGTATATAGTGTGAATAAAAGTAGCCCTGAGATGCTTTCCTAAAGGATTCCTGATAATAATTTTACAGAAGTTGACTCTTGAACTTACGAGTAAGATGTTTGGAGGTGGTTGACAATGTTTCGTAGTGTATTTCAACAGTTCGGATTTTTATTGTCTAATATAATATAAATTGATTTGAAATTCCTGAAAAAATATTATAAAATTGTTATTTTCGGTTAATCTTTTTAATGTTTTTTCAGGAATTTCAAATCAATTTATATTATATCAGACAATAGAAGTCCGAACTGATGAAATAACGAGTAAGATAATTATTACTTTCTATAGTTTTCATAGGAAATAATTAATAGGATGAATATCAAACACTTCTTGATTTCAACTGGTTCTAATAAGTATTGATTATATTTTTGATTATTATTGTTTCACAATATGTGTTTTCCTGCCATATATCCTCAGTAAATTTATGTTCCTTGGGGTTATTGAAGCCAAAATTATCATTTTCTACGTAAACTAAGTACCATTTTTCAAAAAGTTTCAATTCGTTAGAACATTGATTTCAGAGAGCTAAGTATTTCATACATGAAAGAAAAATTCATAAAAATCATGTAACAAAAAACCATCGGAAATTCCAAAAAGGATTTTGGTCAGTGAGGACGAAAATTCTCATAGGAACATTGAAAAATTCATAACTCAAAAACAATAATGGAATGCATAGCACATATCTGAAAGATCTTGAAATGTCCAAAACTTTGGCACATCTTCTTTCGAGTCACCCTGTAGATTTCAACTCCTATATATCGATATTGTAGTTACGGAAAAAAATTACTTTTTATGTAATGAGGAACTCATGTAACTGATCAGTTGACAAAATGACTGTTTGTTCAGAACAGAATATTTCAAATCATAGAAAATTCACAATAAACAATATTATACCTTCAATCGATAGTGATATGTCATCAACTGGCGAAATAAGACTCCGACTCATGGTTGTATAGCTTTCTCTCTTTGCCCAAGTGCAAGCTACCATTCAAATAAGATCCCTCTTTCACTAAACGCAAAGTTGACCATTTTGTTTTAGTTTTTATTTGTTGAAGAAGAGATGATATAAAAGTGTTTTTCATCGTGCCAGGCATTGATGACGCATGTGTAACGTTCCATTGCACCAAGTGTATTTTCCTTGGCGTTGATTTTCCCTTCACTTTTGGATCTATAATAGCACGGAGCATGTAGTATGCTGCATCACAAAACTTGTCACGGTACATTTGTCATATGAGCATGTTTTCGGGTAAATTTTGTGTTGCGTAGCGGGAGAATTGAATAAAGTTCTGGTTATTTAGCCAGTTTATGATGATAAATGGGTTTTTCGCGAAATGTCGGAAAACTAAATATTTATTTTGTAAATGGTTGTGACGAGGAAAGCGAAGAGGCGAAAATAATGGAGTGATATGGCAATGGAAACAAACAAGAACTGTTATCGTTTTGACCCATTGAACGAGGTATTTTTTGCAATTCAGCACTATACAAGAGGAAGTTATAGAGAAGAGAAAAGGCAGTTACAAATTCCATATTTCATTCATTTCTCATTCAAAGTTGGGACGTTTCCAAGAGAATTTTGTAATGATATAATGTTTCATTCACAAAAAATAAATACTATGAAAATCTCACCTGAACATAGAACGATTTATAAATAGACTGAATAGACTGAAAGTTGCAACAATATTGAATATATGAGTGATAGGAGGAATTCACAAGTATATTGAAAAAAATGGTTGTGACTTTCTACTTCACCATCTTTATATAAGAAAATGTGGAAATCTTTCAAAGAAAGGAATGCAGCAATTAATTATAAGAGTACACATTGTGTCACATTGAATTCAGAATTCTTCATTCGCAAAAATTTAAAAACAAATCAAGTTGACTCATATGGGGAACAAGTTTTGACATAAAAACCATTGGCAAACCTTCATCCCCTCTGTACGTACATTTAAATGTGTTACTCACAGAATGTAAGGC